GCTGGAGGTGCCACACCAGTTCTCTCAGATCTTGCCTTGCGGGCCAACTCACGAAGTTCCATCTCCTTCTTTTCNTTAGGAATAGCTCTTGCACGCTCATAATCCACACTCATATCATCATCATTCATGGTTCCCCTCTCATCGGCTGGAGGTGCCACACCAGTTCTCTCAGATCTTGCCTTGCGGGCCAACTCACGAAGTTCCATCTCCTTCTTTTCCTTCTCTTTCATCATCATCTCTTTCTGGACCTTTGACCTCATTGCAACGGCTTCTCTGGCCTTCTGCTCTGCTACATATAGAGCCTCTGATAGTTTTGCAAAGTTGTCATTGATCTGCACCTCCTGAAGTCCCCTACCATCAGCAGCCAGACGCTTATCAAGAGGAATTGTATAACCTTTGGGGTTCTTCCAATTTGATATACACGGAGGTATCTTCCAATCCTGCTGGTCCTTCACTGTAACAGGACGAGGCGGAGAATGCATTACTGGCACAGGTGGAGAACCAGAGGCCTTTGGAACCCTTTTGTGTTTGAATTTTGGTGGCTCCATAGGGTCCACAGGCATCTCCACCATCCTAATAATCCTCTCTTTTGCACCTGAGTTAAATGCTGCTGACTGCTGGGAGGGCTTGTACTTAATAAACTTGGAGTCTTGAGATTGCGTAGGAACATTTTTGGGCTGTGCAGCACTCAACCGAACATTTACAATCTTCTCAAGAGCAGCCTTGGTCTCCTGGGTGGTCTCCTCAATTATTTTCTGCTTCTCTTCCACATCCATGTCTTCGTCATCCTCATCCTTCACAAACTTCGGGATAAGATCCTTATGCTGAGAATAAACAATTTTTTTTGAATTTTCATTCTGCCTCACAATCGCATCATACCTCACATCACCATGCTCATCCACCGTAACAGGCAAGGTCTTCCCCCCAGGTTTCCAATCCTTCTTTCTGCCCATATCCAGTGGATACTGAGCATAGTGAATTTCGGGGAATGCACCTCCATCCCCAAAATCCTCGAGCTTAGATGGCCTAAAGCCAGCTCTTTTCAGATAAGGAGGAACAGGATTTGCCTTGATGACTGCTGTCTTCTCTGCCTCACTTGCAGTATATCTGTTCTTGAACCACGGGTCATTTGTATGATCATAGTGTGTACTGCTAGTAGATTTTGCAGGTGGAAGCAGGTCCTTTAGAGCTGCCATGTTCAAACGTCCAGACTTAAAACGCCTAGCCTGCTTTACACAGAGAAACAGAACAACTATCATTAAAAGGATCAATGGATAAAACCAACTACAAAACTACCGAAGATATATAAGATCAACAAAGAATCAAAATCAACTAAAACAAGAAGATAGAGGGAAGAGATTTCATCAATATCAAAAGAGTTACTCGAGTCATGACTTGAGTCTGAATACCATGGATCCTAGCTAATTCATTCTTCATTTGGCCCCGAAAATACTGGTTCCTAGAAAGAGTACTGGTGGTTTTTATAAAAGAGGAGGATGAAAAAAATTTATAAAGTTGTAAAAGTTTATTTTGCAAAGCATGAATAAGATCAAAATAGGTAAAATAGATGTCTTCCAGAGTCAGAAAAGAGAGATGGGATGTGCGACTTGAACAATCACAAGATACCCAAAAATGATTAAGCAAAATATAGATTGCAGAAGAATCACTTGATCAATTCCAGAAAGTAACAAAAAACAGCTAAATGGAAGTTAAGATCTAATTATCAAAAGCAAAAAAACAAAAAGATTAGAAAAGAAAACCAAAATTGTAAAGGGACTTCACTCTTTTTTCACCTGGAAATGAGCCACTCCTGGATAATCGGACAATGAGAAAATTTATACTCATTGCAGAGGCAAAAAAGTATAAATACATGTTAAATATAAAGAAGGATTGACTCAAATAAAAACGTGCCTTTATATGATAATTCAGAAAATTAACATTTATTAGTTACCACATTGTGTTAACTGATGGGTCGCAAGGTGCCCGTTCAACTGATACATGCATCCTTTTGTTTCGTTAGCATCATTCATTCATCACTTTAGTTTCGTGTAAATCACAAGATTGATCACATTTCAGGGGCATATGCAGTACATTAAATGATTTATTATGGTGCCTTAAGAATGACAGAAAATGATGGAGAAGAAATTCCATGACCTTTCTTGATTATCTACTATATTTGCTCAATAATTTCAAATGCAGAAATTCAAATTTCTGAAAGCTTGAAGGCAATAATAGCGCTTCTTTTCCCACCGTTTGAGTACACTTGCTATAATACTAACCAATTATTTTTTATTTCTTAACAATACATGAACGAATTAGATTCATATCTTCCTATAACCGTGATGCTATTGTCAGGAAATACACATTGTTTTTTTTTTTGGGAGGCACATCAATACCATCAGTTATATTAAACAACTCTTATAGCTTAAATAGTAATCATCTCATAAATCTCAGTGTTGTCAAAGGCTCATTTAAGGCGCGCTTAAGCCCTGAAACTCAGAAAAGCTCAGGGAGGGTTCTTCGCCACGCTTAAGTTGCACTTCAGTCTAAGGCAAGGCACTAAGACATGCACCTCATTGCCCATGAGTTTTGTCGTAAATCAAGCAGCACTAAACAACAAACATAATCGGAAAATAAGTGTATTAGCTGTAAAGGAAAACATTTTGAATGAATTTGTTACTTTGTTCTATATATATTTCCCCTTCATTGCGCCTTCTTTTACTAAAGCCCACACTTTAAGCGTGCTTTGCGCTTAAAGCCCCAACAGACCTAGAGCGCATTTTAGAGCTTTTTGCCTTTAACAACAATGATAAATCTAAAATCAATGTTCTTGTAGCAAAAAGGATACACTGATATAATGTCAAAATGACTTGATTGCAGTTAAAATGACTTGACTTCATAAGAAAAGAAAATTCCAACTTCCAAATTCGGACAAAATACCAAAAGAATATAGGTAACTTCAATTACTCATTCCAACTGCAGAAACCCTACACGTGCAAAAAAAGGTTGAGCATTCCCCATAAGCAAATATTATAACAATTTCAAGCCATATGAATATCTTAATCTCATAGAAGCACAATATTCTTATATTTCAAAACCTAGAAGGTGCAAGAAAGATGTCAAAAAACTCTTAGTGTCAGATAGGACTATCTTCTTGCCACTACTCTGAAAGCCTGATATGCAGCTCTCAATATCATTCCGAGATAAGTTAGGGGTAGGTGTATAGCTCAGCACTAATCCTCTCTTTTTTATGATAGTGGTGTTCAAGCTAGCTTGTGTGCACCTCAATTATTCCATCTGGTACCTGTCACCTCTTACCGGCACAGGTAGGACACGTACCGAATAACTGAATCCACTTAAAACACTAGTCCTAATTTGGACTGAACCTTGTCCAGGAACCAATTTCTTTATATTTTAGTATAGCTGAGTCTCAGTAAAACATTCTACGGACCACCCTCTAAACCGTCAGGCTTTCCAATAGCCATAAATCTATAATCTGTCCTACTTCCTACGCGCCCTAACAGCTTGTTTGGATGGTTGTTACACATCATTTTATATTGTATTGTATTGTATCGTTTAATAAACACAACGTTTGGATAAATTATATTGTTTGCTGTTGTTAAATAATATTTTGCTGTTTGGTTTGACTGTATCGTATTGTACTATAACTGATAAGTTTACTAAAATACCCTCAATTGTTTAAATATTAAATTTATCAAGAATTACGCATAAAAATAATTTAAGAAAGCCCCTTCTCTACTAATTTATCACCAAATATGTCTTGTAAATAGATTGAGCAATTAAATTCATCAAATTCTAACAAAATTAGCAATTTTACGTTGGAGTTGGAAGTGGCAGTAGTTCTGAAAAAAAAGGGATGAAGACACAATAGGTTATAGGCGGGAGATTTGGAGTTAAAATAAAAAAAAAGGTAAAAGGGTAAAATAAAATTATGGAATAATAAGTTATGGTATAATTGGAAAGAAAAATATGAAACAATCTCATTACACCACATGTATTGTTTAAAAAATGGGACTTTTCATTATTCCGGAATAATAAATTTAAAAATACAATACAATCAATTTTAATAAAACAATACAATGGTTAACAACCATCCAAACAAGCTGTAAGCCCAAAACCCTTACTCGATCCATCTTGATTTTGGATCGAAAAAAAAAACAGCAGAATCTAAGAACATTTAAAAAAATCAAAGAGAAAGGGGCAGAAAGAGAGAGCGAGAGAGCATCAGCGGACTTACAACAGAAAATTTTGAATCTTTCTGTCTTTTTTTTTTTCTTCCTTCAGCAAGAAAAATAATGCAGCGCAGAGATCACACAGGAGATCGCAATAAGACCAACAGCCTCAGATTAACATACCCGCGGAGCAAAAATAAGGAACAAAGAGGTGTATGATTGGAGGCGGCGAAAAGCCTAGAACTGATAAAGTTTAGGTCCAGATTTAAATAAAATTACAGATAAACCAAGTTATAGAAAAAGTAGTAAAACGATATATCAAGGACAGAATAGGCTCTGGTATTATAAGTTCACGCGTTCAAGCTGCCCTATCCTCCCTTAAATCTTGGTACCAATTAAACCCTAGCCGTCTAAATTTTGGATCATTTTTACCCTTATTTTTTAACAAGTGAATCTTAAACCCTAATTCATATCTAATTATATCAATTAGCATAATTAAAGGGTGGGTAGTTTTGGCTTTTTCTGAAAATTTAATCCTCCTCTTTTAGAATATTAATTTTTTTCTTTACTCTTTTCTCCTCTCTTTATCGACCCTTACCCACTTCAGAACACAAATATAAATCGGTTTTGGACGGATCCTAAATTATTTTTTCATTGTAGTTGCAATAATTTTTTGACGTACTAGTGTAATAATTTTTTCATCTTTACTATTGTAATAATTTTTTGAGTTCCCTGTATTCATTAAGCACTTTGCATCGCTGAGCTAGATACATAGAATTATTATCCTTTTGACGTCTCCTTTGCATCGGCTATATAAAGGGACAATATTAGTAAACTATCCATGTGAATTTATTTTGGTAGAATTTAAATAGTTACGACTAATTATTTTTTTTAAACGACCTCTTAAGGAAACAGTTGCGTCATCGCTTGATAACCTCAATCCTTCTATGGAAGATTGATCCATAAGAGCCAGTATATGTCGTATTTGGCGTTAGGTCAATTTGAAGAACATCAATGAGATTATTAGCCTCGACATGATCTTATTGATCAGGATGTACGTGTTTCAGTTTTATTTTGATTCTGCTATATTAAGTTATTCCATAAATTATTTTGATTCTTTATTGGTTCTTTCGTGTCATGAATCTCTATTTGTCTCAATCATTTTGTTATTTTTTATTCCAACCAAAGATTTTGATACATGAAAGTCTACTTGTGTTCAAATCGAACCGGAAAATCGCACCAAATCGAAAAATCAAACCAAACCGATTAAAAAATTCGACTAGGTTTGGTTTGACTTGGTTTGGTATTGAGTAAAAAAACTCGAACCAACAACAACTCAGTATAATCTCACTAGTGGGGTCTGGGGATGGTAGTGTGTACGCATACCTTACCCCTACCCTGGGTTAGAGAGGTTGTTTCCGATAGACCCTCGGCTCCCTCCCTCCAAGAACTCCCCATCTTGCTCTTGGTGTGACTCGAACTCACAACCTCTTGGTTGGAAGTGGAGGGTGCTCACCACTGGAGCAACCCCAAACCGACATATAAATATTTAATTTATATATATATTTTTAAGACTTTATATTGAATTTTCTTTAAAAAATGTAGAAATATTTGGGATTCTATCATGTGTTAACCTTGAAAGCGTACATTAACTAAAAATTATTGTTAGACGACTAAGAAAATAACTATCATGTGTTACTAAAAGAATTCTCCCATTAGAATATTTTAATAGATCATATGTTTGTCAATTTTTTCAATATTTACTAAACATATATTCACTTATCAAAACTATATTCATAACTTTAACAAAGTAAGATTGAAACTAGTCCAAACCGATATAGTTAATTTGGTTTGATTTTGATAAAAACCGAACCAACTCAATCCATATACACACCTACGAACGTGAAACCATTCGCAAGAATAAGATTATGAGGCATTAGGATAAGATCCAGGAATATTGTGCATACGTAATTGTAGGTTTTAAGGTGGCTCCTACATATGCGGATCCAGGATTTAAATTTTATGGGTTCAATTTTTAAAGTTATGGGTTCATATCTATTATTTTTATAATTTTAATAAATTTTTACATATAAATTTTTACTCCGCGTCGAAAGTTATGGATTCAGTTGAACCCGTAATCAGTACACTATATCCGCCTCTGGGCTCCTAATACTGAAACTTATATGCCGGTTTATGGCGAATCCATGATTTTCAATTTATTGACGTCCTAACTACTGAGACCCGAATTAGTGATAGCTGACTACTTGCAGGTTTAAAAATCATTGTGCCTTATTAAATTTTTTAAATTTATTTTCTAAGTTTATTATTATGTTTTCTAACGTAGATGTTATAGGATGTGTGACGTTTTATATGTTAATAGGAGCAAGTAGGGGTGTACATGGACCGAGTTGATTCGATTTTTATCAAAATCAAATCAAACCAATTATATCGGTTTGGATTGGTTCGATTTTGTCGGATTTTTGGATTTTTTGTTACTTAAATATTATTTCAATCTTACTTTGTTAAATATTTGATAAATAACTATATATTTAGTAAAAATATAAAAAAATTGACAAACATACTATCGATTAAAATATTCTTACGGGAGAATTCTATTAGTAACACATAATAGTTAATTTTTTAGTCGTCTAACAATAATTTTTTTTTGATGTACACTTTCATGTTACCAATATTTTCGTTGATGTACACTTTCAGGTTAACTGAATCTAGTAATTAAACATAAAAATCAATATGATACCTAAATATTAATAATCACTTCACATTCGTAAAAGATATAAGACTTTAATAGATCCTAACATATGTTATGAACATGGAAGAACAAAGAGATAAAGGCATTTTCTGTAATACTTGATAAGAAGGTGATCATACAATCCATTATTTAAGGTCAATAAATATGGAGCACTTCATATTCTATTAAAATTTATATCCCGCAAGAGAATTCCAAATATTTTAAGACATTTTTTAAAGAAAATTCTATATAAAATCTTAAAGTATATATAAAAAATATATATTTATATGTCGGGTTGGTTTGAGTTTTTTTACTCATTCGAATATGGAATATGGGTTTTTTTTTAAAGAAAATTATATATTTATATGTCGGGTTTGTTTGGGCTTTTATATTTATAATCACTTCACATTCGAAAAAGATATAAGACTTTAATAGATCTTAACATATGTTATGAATATGGAAGAACAAAGATATAAAGGCATTTTCTGTAACACTTGATAAGAAAGTGATCATACAACCCATTATTTAATGTCAATAAATATGGTGCACTTCATATTCTATTAAAATTTATATTGCGCAAGAGAATCCCAAATATTTTAAGACATTTTTTAAAGAAAATTCTATATAAAATCGTAAAGTATATATAAAAATTATATATTTATATGTCGGGTTGGTTTGAGTTTTTTACTCAATACCAAACAAAATCAAACCAAACCAAGTCGGATTTTTTAATCGGTTTGATTTGACTTTTCGGTTTGGTACGATTTTTCGGTTCGATTTGTACACCCTAGGAGCAAGAGAGATATGGAGATTCTATTATCGGAGTTATTGTACTAATATTACTTTGTATTTGTCAAAACGTCTTAATTTTTTTGTTCATACGGATGCAAGAAAACGAGTATTAGAGTGATACTGTAAATATTATATTGCGAAGCATCTGAAAATATTTGTCTATTCACAAGGCAACAGATCATTTGTCATTATCATCACATCAGTTACTATAAAAAAACTATATAGGTGCGATGAAATATATAAGCAATATGCATGAAATATATACGTGATTGTTTTATATACATCGCTTGCTTTTTTTTAACTGACTATATCATATAGCGTTTCAGGCAAAATATGCTTATCAAGTACTAACGCTACAAAGATAGAAACAAATCAAGAAATATCGGATATCCAAATGTTGACTACAAGGTTCATTCTAATATAGATTTTTTTTTTTTTTATTGGACGTGTTTACCGTTTATTCTCCTTAATATTGGAATATGTTTAAATTATTTAATAGAATTTGCCGAATCTCATATCAAAATCAATCTTGAACCAAAACATGAAAGCTCGAGATACCTGTCACGACCCAAAATCCATTATAGGTCGTGATAGCGACCAACGTCGTCGTTAGGCAAGCCAACACTTAATTATTCATTTTTATTATTTTTAAAATCATGAATCTTATTTAGATAGAGAAATCGGTGCATTAAAATAAATCGTAGTTACGTACAATTTAGTTAAAATAAATCGTAGAACACCCCCAAAACTCGATGTCACAAGTGCATGAGTATCTACTATAATGTACAATAACTATACAACATATGTCCGGAATATAAGTTAGACAGAAAAATATAAATAATTCTGATAAAGACTCTGTATGTTGCGGATCGTAACGTGGGATGCAGCTCACCGTAAAGTCCCCGCAATAGCCGAGCCTTTGCTCCCAAAAGACCACCAGAAATATATATATACATGCACAATACATACAGAAGTGTAGCATGAGTACGTAAATCAATGCGTACCCAGTAAATATCTAGCCTAACCTCGGAGAAGTAGTGACGAGGGAGCTACATCGACACTTACTAGTGGTTCAATAAATCAAGTACAATAGAAAGTAAAAAAGTATGAGGCATGGTAAATAAACAGTGTAAACAAATATAGGTACGTGGTACGATCCTCCTCTGAACAGTAAACACAAGCTCTCAATTATCGGTTACCTCCCTAACCGGAGTATACATATAAAATAGTCCCCACTAGATAGGTGGTCACAATTCAAATCAGGAAAACTCACGGATACACTGCTTCTTGTCAAATATTACGCACGATTCTGTCGAGGTGAACAACCCGATCCCATAAAAGTGTTTCATGAAGTTGTCGAGGCGAACGACCCAATCCCATAAGAGTACTTCATAGAAATGCTGAGGTGAACGACTCGATCCCATAAGAGTGTGTTACATAATTCTACCGAGGCGAACAGCCCGATCCGGTCCTTGACCCCACTCACGAATATACGTGTGAGTTATGAAATTTAAGGAAGCTTTTTGATGAAAACGCACAACGCTGGAGAAATTCGTAGGGGAAGTACACTTATTTTGCGGCTAATCAAGTAGCCCGTCAATTCTCTACAGTAGCGAGTCTATCACTCTACGCAAGCCTAGTCTCGGGTCATAACGCGAAATCAAGCAACTAAGCAGGCAATAATAACTTAACTAGTACAAATAAGGCATGGCGTGAATCCTAGTCTACCCGGACATACTCATGAATTCTAGCATGCGCACAGACACTCGTCATATCATTCGTGCGCATCTCCCACAACATGTAGCATATAATAAGAAATAACACCCATGGGATAATTTTTCCC